TTAATGTGACTATTTTTTGTTAGAATTATTTTCATTTAATGAATTAAACCTATTCATGTACAAATGTGTTATGACGTCCAGTATGCCATCTGGAGCAGATGTCTGATGATTTTGGAAGCATCCATATGAGCTAAAGCCCCATCATCTGTAGAATGGAAATATCTGTATGTGAACTTTTCAAAGGATGTTCATAATATGATCTGTTTATAATAAACATGGATCTTTTTTAGTGATGACGCAGAGTCCAGTTTAATTACATAATTCATAACGTATGTGCTCCTAGAAGGGGATGGAACATAAGTTGTTCAGTTGAAACTTTATTAGAATTGAAGGGTGACTATAACAAGTTTAATGATTTGTTTCATTTGTGTGTTAGCCATTCCAGGTTTTTAAGGAAATAATTAATTTGCTGAAAAGAACAGAAGCCAAACTACTGCAGAGATATTATGAAACAAAGCTTGACCTCGATGAAAAAAAACTGTCGTTTTTTAGTTGTATTATGTTTTTAATTCTAATATCGTTGTGTTTTTACTGGGGGATGTTGCAAGCTAGCCTCCTGCACAGTAGATGTAAAAAGCAGGAAATGGTGGCAGCCAGTGTGACTATCCACTGCCATCTATAGTTGGTCAATTTTCTGAGGTCTCAAACACAACAGGGAGGCTGGTCGGCAGCCCCAAGCATTACAACAGAGAACAGCAGATTAAAGCAACATAATGAAGTGCTTTTGGTCCAGAGCAGACTCAAAGATGTGCAATTAAAAGTTTAAAACCTCCATTACTTACTCCCTGTCTAAGTCATTTCCTCTTGAACAATAATTAGATCTGTGCTGGTGTAGTTGTTATCACTCGTTAACATCCCTCCTTTCAGTGAGGCACCTCTCATAATTTCCAGTAACAACTTTCATCCTCAGAGACCTAAATAGAACAAGCCACTGTGCAGTAGAGGGGGCTTATCTGGGCTTCTACAGAATGATTATTCCCCTCAGTTATATCAGATAAAGAGCAATTATTATTAATATTATATAGGATTATATAGCACCAAGAGTTTGTGCAGCACTGTACAAAATAAAGAAAGAAAGCACAGCTATGAAACAATTGGAGACAAGAGGGTAAGGCGGGCCCGGCTCATGAAAGCTTACAATGTACAAGGGAAGGGCAGTTGATAAAAAAAGATAGTAACTGTCTGGGGATGAGTTGATTGAGAAGGTAAAATTAGATATGCGGGATAACATTTAGTAGCATGTTCTGATAATTCATACTTTCCTTGCGATAGTCATTACCACTCTTGTCTGTTAGATGTACCCTAAAAGAACCCTTGGAACAATATTGCTGCTTTTTTGCTAAAAGATAATGTTGATCTTTTATAACTTTTTTCAATGATGTAATTGGTAGATTTGATTGTTCTAATTTTATGTTTCAAATTGATATCTGTATTGTTAGCAGTTAACTAAAATTCATTTGAGCTATGGCAACAAAATTCTAATAATACGTTTCCGTGAGCATATTTGCTTCTGTGACTTTAGTTCAATATATTGGTATAGTTTTTTATAGCCTCTTCTTGTCATTTTTAGTGGCTAGCTCTTGGACAGTAATTAGTAACTTGTGATCACACTGGTCGTAATAGCAGTAGGTCATTAAGCGTTAGTTACTACTTCCTAGCAAAGTGCGGGTGAATTCATACTCTAAACTGTTCTCAGCTTACAACATGTGCTTGTTCACGCCGTAGGGTTAGCTGAAAATATAACATTATTATTATTACTGTGACTGGTGTTCATTTGTATTAATTCAGATGTAGTTCTTATTTTGTAAATAGAACGAATCTCCCTTAACAATGCATCTGTCGTATATAAATGGCTGCTTAGTGGTGTACTTTCCATAACGCCCATTGGAGAGAGAGAACACCATGCGTTCACACAATGATCTGGACAATGTTGTCTTTGTTTGAGCAGTTGGTAAAGTTTTAATGGATTACTGTATGTAGGGTGTTATTTTAGGTATGCACTCTCAGACTTCATGGCAATCATGTAATAGAGATATTTGGCTGGAGATATAACAAACTTGTCTCATTATTTTTAAGGGAGTCTAGGAGGTATTAAGAAGATTTAAATTTGTGAAGACTCAAAGCCATTTTAACGACGCAGACACAAAGAGATTTCTGCAAGAAACAACTAGTGTGTGCGCTAAGGAAGGAGGAAAATGTTGCTGGTTGTGTAGCTCAGAAAAGCTGAAACCTCTTTTTATCCCCTAGCAGTTAGCAGTTGGCAAAATATAAGTAGCAGATCTTTGCAGTGCCACTACTGTAATAAAATATCTCTATATGCTTTAATAATTGCAGAGAGTATTTGACAGTTAATAATAGTTTCTTTTGTCTTTAGAGGTTGCTGCCCACTAAAATGTGATAGTTTTAAAATCTTGTAATATAATATCATCTTCAAACCATTTAAATGTATGCCATGTTTAGATTAGTGGGTGGTCCTCAATCTGTTGTAGACAGACCTTGCTATCATAGCCTGACAGTGTATGGGGCACAAGCTTTGACAAGTTAAAATACATTTTAATAAAAATAAATAAATACATAATCGTTGGAGTTGATTTACTAAAGGAGTAGAGGCTTTTCACCTAGTAAAGTGTATGTTCACTTTGCAAAGTAAGTAAGGTGTAGCTGTGTTCACTTTGAACCTCCCAATCATGTGTAAGGGAAATTTTGAAAAAACAGACTTTTTTTAATCATATGATTAAAGTACTGTATACACAGTTTTTACTTATTTACTAACATTAACTTTGCAAAGTGAGCAATCTCTATTATTTTAGTAATATCTGATTCACACCTGTCCATTGCAGTGTGTTGCAGTAACCATGGTGCACGTTATCCCACCGTACATGTATTGCCATTCATTTTAATGGCATCGCCGGCAATGCACCTCCTATGCACATGTTGCACCACAACGCGCAGTAGCGTATTACCATGTATTGTGGTGCACTGTGTCAGAAAAATTGGTACATGTTCAGTTTTTTTCATCTGTTCTGCTTCTTTGGATGTCCATTTAAATTAATGGACTGCCATATTGCAAAGCACGTTAACACATGACATACTGAGGGTAATGTATAAAAAACTGGAGCGGACAGAATTTGGAGCTGTTGTCCATGGCAACCAATCAGCTTCTCTCTTTCATTTGCAAAGCTTAAGGCCTGGTTCACACCTGGGCGTTTTACAGCGCGTTCATACGCTCTGTAAAATGCTCAACATGTGAAAACCAATGATTGCCTATGGGCATGGTTCCCACCTGGGCGTTTTACAGCATGTAGGAACGCGCTGCAAAACTCCCTACACCCAAAGAAGTACAGGAGCTTCTTTGGGGCGTATGTGCCGCGCGTATCCATTGGGATACAGCCAGGTAGCCCTAGGAAACGCGACATCACGGTAAAAATGTGGGGCATGAAACGCGTGACAAACGCGCATATTCGATACGCCTAGGTGTGAACCCAGCCTAACTGAAAAAGTTGAAGAGAGAAGCTGATTAGTTTACATGGGCAACAGTTCCAGATTTTGTCTGCTGCAGTTTTGATAAATTCCACTCAATTAACGTTAATGCAACACACCAGAGCGGGTATGTGTGAATGGGCCCTTAATCTAGCCCATCCAGTTAGAATTTGTTTTGTGATTATCCATTGCTCCTTGCCATATCTAGGGAACTCATCAAGCTT